CACTTCTCACTAGTCTGTCCCTGGCCAGATGCAGGCATTTCTGTTGCACTTCCCTCCACCCTCTTTGCAGCTCTGAGTGGATATGGGATGCTTCACTCGCTCCTCTAAACTTCTGCTGCTTTACACCCCAGAGATGGCTGCATCTTTCCGGGGGTGGGAGTGAGGAGCAGATTTTGGATATCCCTCAGGCTGAAAGGTGCTGTCCCAATGCCAGTGAGAGTTCGCAGAGTGCTTTGGGGAGAGATCGACTCTCCACTAGGGCCTATAATTCTTCACTTAACGGCATTTGCCAGCTTGCTCCTGGGCTGGGAAGGGAGCAGGTTGTACTGCCCGCCCACTGCACAGGAGGTGGAGGACTTGGGCATGTTCATATCACAAGCTGATTTCTCCAGCTAAACCAGAGTCCTTATAGTTCTTTGCCAGCCTGTTCCCTACGGTCAGCCAGCTCTGCTGGGTGGAGGGGGTGAGGCCCCGGCGCTGAAGGGAGTGTCTCCAGTAGAGACTCACACCCTGTGTGGGGGATGAGGCTGGCTGTGCTCTGCCCAGGGCTGCTGCCCAGGGCAGCCTGAAAGGGGCACCTCACCCAGTTAACATGTGGATGTGTGTATCTCGACAGCACCAGCTAGAGACGCCACCTGACACTGCTTGCAGGGGAGGAGAGCTCTCTCCTGACATCATGATCCGGAGACTCCTGGACCGGCCCTGCACCTTGGCCCTGCTCATTGGCTTCCAGTTTGCCTTTATGGTGTACTTCTCCTTCGGCGGCTTCCGGAACCTGACCTCCATCTTCGGGCGTGACTTGAACCCCGTCTTTGACTACTCCCGCACTCGGGATGTATACACCAACCTGAGTCACCTCCTACCCCGGCCACCTCCAGGCAGCAGCCCCACGGGGTCCCTGCCCTACTGCCCTGAGCGCTCACCCTACCTCAGTAAGTTGTGCACTGGGTGTGGGGTCAGAGTGGGAGCCCTGCAGGGTGGTAGGGGATAGGGGGCCACAGGCAAGGAGTCCTGTGGGAGATCGGTGGAGCACCAGCGGGAAGCCTTCCAGGGGAGGCAGGGGGAATCGATGGGGCGCAGGCATGGAGCCCTGCAGGGGAGGCGGGAGGATCGGTGGGATGCAGACAGGGAGCCTTGAGGGCCCATGGAGTGGGGTTCACTCAGTCTTTCTGTAGCATCATTTGTCATGCACAAGCCAAACTGGCTTTCAGTCAAGTCTGTGGTTTTCCAGCAGGAATAATAACAAACAGGGTATTTTCCCTCACCCATCAGTGGGTGCAGGACAAGCTGTGGTGGGGAGCAAGTACCCCAGAGGCAAGGAGGGGGGAGGTGGGTTGCACCCTTGTAGGGCGGGACAGGGCTGAGCAGGGGGAATAGCCTGTGTCATGTCTCCAGAAGGTGTATTGGTTGCTTGCTAGACAAGGCTCCTGCCCTCCAGGGGGCCTGCTTCTGCTGGGTCTCATAGCTGGGTCTCGCTGTGGGCTGAGGCTCTGCAAAAGGCAGCAGAGATGCCCTCTTGCTCATGTGGTTGAGGTTTGCCTCTGGCGCCCCCAGCAGTGAGACCCATGCACCACAGAGCTGCGGGGGCAACCGGCTCCTGACTCCAGATACTAGTGGGTGTCTCGGAGCACTTGCATATTTAAACATGGAGAGAGCTTTGGAGTCTTTTGACGGTAGGTCGGGGAAGAAACCTTGCGCCAGTCCCAGGGGAAGGAAGCATGGGGCAGCCTGAGCCTGGTGGCACGCACCAGCCCACTTGAGTTTGTTTTGCCTTAAATTTTATTCAACTACAATTTTCTGTTGTAAAAGCTGGTGCTGTGGCTGTGATGTTGCCCGGTGGGGATAGCCCAGGTGGTGTTGCCCCCTCCAAATGGTGATGTGGGTGCTCTAAAAACCTAGGGATGAAGCAGAACTTGGCCACTGATGGATGGCGATTCTGTACCCATTGCATTCTGGGTAGGTCCATCATCCTGCCCATTTCTGCACACCCCGGTATTCAGCTCACAGGCAGTGTGGGACTCGCTACAGGCTGGGATCCATGATTTGCCAGGACACTGTCTGTGTTCGGAGGAGCAAGAAGTCTCTGGAGCTTGCCGTGTCAGATGCGGAGCCATTCTTGGCTCAGATGCTCCCCCTGGGCTTAAACCTGGGGCACACTGTCAGGCTAGTGCCCAAGAGTGCTCAGACCAGCCCACTGCCTACACCTCTGAGTGGTGAAAGGACTAGAGCATGCCTCTGCTCCAGCGGGGCTCCAGCTCCCACTGCCAGCAGCGCTCGGGGAGACAAGGGGTTGGTGGCTCTGGGGGGCAGCTGCTGTGTAGTCTGGACTTGCTGTGAGCCCAGTTCCAATGCCACGTGATGCCGTGCCGAGCTTGCTGCGGGAGCAGCAGTGGTGCTGGGCTAACAAGGCTGCTGTGTTGCTGGGAGGCCATGCATTGAGCGGCGGGCTCTGAAATGGGAAGTCTGGCTGTGCAGCTGGCGTGTGCTCACCTAGACGTGCCCAAGCACCCATAACAGCTACCCTGGGACAGACCCTGCATGGGGAAACAGGCTTGTAGGGGCCTCTGGGCATCCAGCTCTCAGCCAGGTCAGGCTCGGGTAGGGGGCTGCATGTCAGCGGGGGTCTGTTCAGGGATGCAGTGCATCAAACTCATCCAGGGAGCAGGGCAGCTAGTGGGAGAGGCCCAGGCCTGTGTTCCAGTCCTACCCCCTGCTCTGAGAACTCAGCTACGCTGCCAGCCAGGGAGCCGGCTCCTCTGCAGGGAGCAGATGGAGGCCCAGGCTGCTTGTCCTGCTGTCTGTCCCACCTGACGATACCTTGTTGGGGCAGGAGCGGGGCCTCCTGGGTGATGTGAGTTCAGCTGCAGAGCTGAGCTAAGGGCTGCTGGGCCATGGGGAGGCTGAGCCTAAAGATGGGCTCCGGACTGGGTGGGAGTTCCAGCCTTGAGACCCCTCCATTGCCCTGCCCAGCAGGGACAGCTATGCCCGACCTCCTTGTGAGGGCTGATGGAGCCCAGCATGGTGAGCACTTGTCTCCTGGACGAGCTGTAACTGCAGGTCTGTCTGTCCTGCATGGTGTCAGTGTTGTGCTGGGGTCCTTGGTTAGCGCAGTTCCCCTCTGTGCAGTGCTGTGCCCTGCCCGGACACTGGTCTCCTCCCCACAGGTGCCTGCACAGAGCTTTGGGGCCATGGGCACTGTGGGAGGAGGAGGGACTCTGAATCCTCTGCAGTCCCCTGCTCTTAACCCCGCCTGTGGCTCCGAACGATCCAGACCGGGCTCCCTTTGGTGTGAACGACCCCCCGGCAGCGCTGACTCAGGGCAGAGAGAGGCCAGGGCTGGAGAAATTGCAGACTCCTGTCCTTGCACAGCTGCTGTTGGAGGGAGCTATCAAGGAGCTTAGCTGCACCCCAGGTGCCTTGGCCAGAGCGCAGGCCAGCCCTGGAGGGGCAGAGCTGGCTGTTCAGGCCCATGGCCTGGCTGTCTGGTGAAGGATGAGCCTAAAGGGCAGTTGAGCACATGGCAGCCACTCACTCTCCAGAGCCTTGTTCCGCCCCCATGTGATGCCAGGCTCCCTCAGGTGTCACCCGTATGCCTGAGCCTGGCTAGCAGGGTTGGCTTGGGGAGCCGGCTGGGTGATTCTCCACACCTGTGCCTGCTGAGTGTGGTGGAGGAGGGGCATGCCTGTCCTTGAGAGCATGTGCGGGCTGCCTTAGCAATGGCCGAGTGGGGAGGGGTGGCAGCCATGAGAGCTGAGGGGTCCGAGGGCCAAGGCTGGCTGGGGGCGAGACAGGGACACCAGCAGAGGGGCTATGTAGTGTGTATGGATGGGGATGCTGGTGCTGATGCATCTCTGGGTGTGTGGCTGGGCATTGGGGCTGGAGGGTGGCTGGGCACCGGGGCTGGGGTGTGGTGTGGGCCTCAGCTGGGTGGGCTCTGGGGCTGCAGACCCATGGCCAGTGTGATTGGCTGTGGGGGGGTCTCTGCTCCTGATGCCAGCTTTCCCCTGCAGTTGGCCCCCTGACTGTGGGCTTCAGTCAGGTGCCGACGCTGAAGCAGATCGTGGAGAAGAACCCGGCGGTGAGGGAAGGGGGCAGATACCGGCCCGTGACCTGCGAGCCCCGTTCCCGTACCGCCGTGATCATCCCCCACCGCAACCGGGAGACACACCTGCGCCACCTGCTCTACTACCTGCACCCCTTCCTGCAGCGTCAGCAGCTGCAGTACGGCATCTATGTCATCCACCAGGTGGGTCTGCACTCGCCTGCCGCCAGGCAAGGGCGCTGTACTGGGGATCCCCACTGACCCAGGGTGGAGTTGGGGCCTCAATGCACCTGACTGGGCTCCTGTCTGAGCTCCTTGCGCTGCCCTGCTGCAGGCTGGGAACTCCACCTTCAACCGGGCGAAGCTGCTGAACGTGGGGGTGAAGGAGGCTCTGAGGGACGAGGAGTGGGACTGTCTTTTCCTGCACGACGTCGACCTCATCCCCGAGAACGACCACAACCTGTACACCTGCGACCCCTGGAGCCCCAAGCACGTCTCCATCGCCATGAACAAGTTCGGCTACAGGTGAGCTGCCACGTGCCATCCTCCCACAGGGCCTCCCGCCACCGCGGCTGTCTGCTTGTCGCTGGGCACCATGGCACAGAATCTTTGTAAATCTGACTGAAAACAGTGGTCACAGCTCAGCGTGGGGCAGGCGCTCCTCAGTCCTGCCCCCATGGCCCCCTGCTGGTCCACTCCTGGGTCATCCTGCCCCTGCTGGTCCACTCCTGGGCCACTCTGCCAGGGCCCTGAGTCCTGCCCCCGCAGCCCCCTGCTGGTTCACACGTGGTTGCATGTCAGTTAATACCAGCTGTCCCAGTTGGCACCATGGTTTATCATTGCAGGTACACACCTTCACTGCCTGGTATCCAAGCCCCAGCCAGCCTGCCCAGAGCAGGGACTGAGCTCTGAGCTGGTTCCCTGAGGGAATCCTCAAAAAGAAAAGGAGGACTTGTGGCACCTTAGACACGAACACATTTATTTGAGCATAAGCTTTCGTGAGCTACAGCTCACTTCATCGGATGCATGCAGTGGAAAATACAGTGGGGAGATTTATATATACAGAGAACATGAAACAATGGGTGTTACCATACACACTGTAACGAGAGTGATCAGGTAAGGTGAGCTATTACCAGCAGGAGAGTGGGGGGGGAACCTTTTGTAGTGATAATCAAGGGAATCCTGGCACCCAGGGCGTGGCTGCTGGGGGTAGTCTCTGAGCCAGGATCCTTTCTCAAGCCATCTCAGTCACCCTCCTCTTCTCTCCTTCAGCCTCCCGTATGCCCAGTACTTCGGCGGCGTGTCAGCACTCACCCCAAATCAGTATCTGAAAATGAATGGTTTCCCCAATGAGTACTGGGGCTGGGGTGGGGAGGACGACGACATTGCCACCAGGTGAGAGTCACCTCGAGCACCTGCGCCCTGCTTCTCACCCCTCCTGCTCTGCTCGATGTATAACTAGCAGATCTGTCCCCACCCCGCTGCTTGCCTAGGGGTCTGTGCACTTCCTTCCCTGCCCAGACACAGGCCCGGGCCACGTATGGCTGGCCACACAGGTCCCTGGTGACAAGAGATGGAGCTATGGAGGGAGCATTGGGGGCCAGGGAATCCCAGCTGCTCCGAGCCAAGCCATAGGGTCGGGGGAGCAGGACATGGCCCACACCCCCTGCTAGTGCAGCTTCTGTCTCCAGGGGGCACTAACAAGCTGTGGGGGGATTTACAGGCCCAAAGGACGGGCATCAGGCACTGCCTGTCTGGCATCAGCAGCCTGGTGGCACATGCTGTCCTTTGGGATCAATCACATGGGTCCCCTGTGCAGGAGGGAGGGGTGTGACTGTGCCCCCCACCCCATTGGCTCAGTGGGGCACGCCAAGGTGGAGACTCTGCTCAACCCATCCTGCCTCTCGCTCCCCTGGCCTTAGGGTGCAGCCCCCAGTCGCTGGCTCCCTGAGGATCTGCTCCACAGGGTGGGAGGTGTCTCTGCTGCCATTCGCCCCTTGGGCCTGGGGCAGCGTGCTGGGGCCAGCTGTCAGGCAGGGCCTGCATATGGCCAGGGCCTGCATATGGCCAGGGAGGGGAGAGCTGGCCGCAAGGTGTTCGTGAGCCAGCAGGCTGAGCTCGTGAGGAGCTCGCTCGGGGACCTAGGCAAGGGCTCTGTTCTAGCTGTCGCCCCCAGCATGGGCCTGGGCCAAATGGCTGGCAGCAGTGTCTCTGGCCCTGGTGACAGCGCTCAGGCAGCAGGTCCCTCTGGGGCACCCCACTTCCCAAGCTGGGCTCCCACAGAGGCTAAGCCACCTCCAGCTGAGTGTGTGGCGCTCCTCTGGCCCTGTCCCCGCTTCCCGCAGTCTGGGTCTCATTGTCAGCCTCTGTGGTCCATGGTCTGTGGCTGTTTCATTAACCCTCGTTTCTCTCCCATGCTCTGTGGGTTTGCTTCATTGGCCGCAGTGTGCTTCTCCCCACCGCCCCTCCCCCCACATTGTTTCTTATTGGCCCTGGTGCATCGCTGCCCCACCATGGTCTGTTGCTGTCGCTCATTGGCTCTGGTCATCTCCCCGTTCCTCCCCCCACTGTGTCTCATTGGCCCTGGTGTTCCCCCTCCCTGTGGTCCTGGCTCCCTCTCACCATCTCTCTCTTCTCTCCACTCCTGGCTCTCGGGACTCTTTGCATGCTCATTTCTCACACAGTGCCATTGCCAGCCATGATCAGGTAGGCCTAGCGCAGCGGGAAGGAGGCGGGTCTGTAGCTGTAGCAGAGCTGGCGGGTTGAGGACGAAGTGACTGCCCTGTGCTCTGCTGAGCGGTTCCATGGCCTGCTGCCTGCACTGGTGCAGCTGGCTCCTGGGTGCCATGGGGAGAGAACCTGCTCCTTGGTGGCAGGGCTCTCCCCACAACAGGAATCGGGTGACTCCTGGCTGGTGCCGCACCTGCTAGAGCACAGTTCCCTCTGCTGTCCCGGGAGCTGATCCCTACACTGGGGGCCAGGCAGCCAGGGATCTAACCCTGCAGCCTGCTGCACCATGCCGTGGCAGCGAGCAGGGATGGATCCTGCAGCCCCTGCGCAGGGCGCCGCACTGAAGCATATATGCTTCTGTTGTCTCCAGGGTGCGTCTGGCTGGCATGAAGATCTCACGCCCCCCCATATCGGTCGGCCACTACAAGATGGTGAAGCACAAAGGTGACCAGGGCAACGAGGAGAACCCGCACCGGTGAGTGTGCTGGGGCCCTGCCCTAGCAGGGAGTTCACACTGGCTAGGCCAATGGGGAGGCTCCCAGAGGGCAGGGGCTGGGCTGGGCAGAGCCCTCGTGCTGACTCTCCTCCCCACCCTGCAGGTTTGACCTGCTGATCCGGACGCAGAGGATGTGGACACAGGATGGCATGAACTCTCTCACCTACACGCTGCTGGCCAAGGAGCTGCATCCCTTGTACACCAACATCACCGCTGACATCGGGACCAACCCCCGGGCGCTGAAGGGCAGGAAGGGGTCTGTGCCCGGCTTTGGGGGGCAGAAATACAAGACTGGGACCAACCATGAGTTCAGGCAGGAGATGCTGCGCAAAACACATCCTGCCAATCTCCCTGGGCCCATGGCAAACTGGGTGGAGCAGCCCCCACCCCTGCCCCAGAGGTCTGGACAGGATGCTGGCCAGGGAGCGCCCACAGCCCCCGCCACACAGAGCAAGAGGCCTGGAGCCGCAGCAGGCCAGCTGGGGGGCAGGGAAGGGGCTGCATGGGCCAGCACCCAGAAGAAGGCCCAGGGGGGAGCTGTGGACAGCTCTGGGTCTCAGCACGGAGCAGGAGCCCCTTGGCCCAATGGAGCTGCTCAGGGCACCCAGCCGAGTCCCAGCATCCTTCCACAGAGCCCTGATGCATTGCAGCACAGCCAGGAGACCTTGGGCAAGGGGAAGCCTGAGGCTGGGGCAATGGATTTGGGTGGGGCTGAGAATGTGGGGGGCAGTGCCCCACAGGCCCTGGCACAAGGGCAGCTCCCCAAGGGCCCCCAGACACAGTGGGACAATCAGACCTTCCTGCAGAGCACCCTCTAACCAGAGGGCCCTGGACATCAGGCATGGGGTGGGGCAGCCACAGATTCGCTGTGTGAGCTGGGCCCTTCCCAGCTCCTGGAACAAACCCCATGGATCACAGTGAACTGGAGGCCCTGGCCCTGTGCTGCTCCCAAGTGCTAGGCTGGGCTGAGAGGCCTGGCACCCAGGAGCTCCTTCCCAGGCCAGGCGTGGACAAGCCTGCAGGGTGGGCCATGTGTGAGCTGAGCCCGGTAGGTCTTGGGCCTGTTCACAGTGGGACAGGGCCCATCAGCCAGCTTGCTCCTACTGCTGGCACCTTTGTCAGCAGCCTCAGCACAGGCTGTGGCTTGGAGTCCCCCAGCCTAGGCTGGGAGGCAAAGAAGTTTGGCCTATTGCTGGCTGTGTTAGCCCAGGGAACCATCCTGCTGGGGCAGTAGATTGGGGCAGAACCTGGTAGCACAGAGGGCAGTGGGTAATTTACAGAAAGGGGGCCAAGCAGGTTGTGATGGTATCTGCTGCATCTTCTTAATGGGGCCCTAACCCATGGGTGTGGTTACAGTGGGTCCCACTAAGCCTCCTGGTTGGGTCCTGCAGGTGGAACAGCTGCAATCAGTTCTGGCATGCTGCTGGGGAGAAGCAGGTGCTCTGGTGCCATGGGCACTAGCTGGCTCAGGGCCTGGGGCAGAGCTGAGCAGTAGTGCCCCCTGCCCCCTCCCCCCCAACCTGAGGGCTCTAGAATCCTGTTGCCATGGGGGTGTTCAATCCAAGTGCTGTTCACTGCAGTAGGCTCTTAAAGAGCCCAGGAGCCCTGCCCCCCCCTTGTGGTCATGTCCTTAGGGGAACTCGTTGAGCCTCAACCCTTCCCCTCCTGCTGGGCTCCTGAGGACAAGCTGAGCCCAAATCCCTGTGCTGTAGGTGGGACAAGCTCATGTCTTCCCTTCCCCAGCCTGACCTATGCTGGCTGTGAGGGGGGCCTAGAACTTCCTGTGCTGTACTGGAGAGAGCCTGCATCTGACCAGCCTGCCTGGGCCAATTGTGAACTGCAGCAGAGCCCCAGGCTACTCATAGCACCCACTGCTCTGCGTGGCTCTGGGCCTTGTGTAGAGCTGGTGGCAGGGCCTTTGTCCCTGAATTGGGTGTTTGCAATGTGCCCTGGCCAGGCTGCTGAGTGGGGCACTGGGATTTTGCGGGGGGGGGGGGGGGGGAGAGAGATGGGGAGGAGGTTGGGCTCAGCTCTGACCCCTTTTCCCCAGAGTTCTCTTTCATGCTGGATTTACACACCACAGTGGTCTCCAGCTGCTGCTGTGTTAATCCTCTGCAGGTGGGAGGCAGGCCCTGTACCCTGAGGGGAAGCACTCCTGGAGGTGGGCAGCACTGTGCTCTCCCATGGGAGGGTAGGGACAGGGAGACTTGCCTTCCTCCTTTCCTGGGGGCTAGTACTCATCTTGTGCCTGACTCCCCTGGCCCTGTCTGTGGCTGCTCTCAAGATGGGGGACTGCTAGCCTGTGCCTGGCTGCCCTTCTTGGGTATGTAGGAGCCAGGGCATTCAGCACCAGCACCTTCATTGTACCTAGCTGTGCCCTTGGCACACAGAGTCTGCTCAGGCTACAGCAGCCATGGCAGGGGCAGGGCTGGTCCTGCTACTTGGAGCTGCAGGGAGAGGAACCCCCTGCCTGGGATTCCAGGTGGAGCTTTTCCCCTCCCCTGTGCTCTGGGCACTAGTGCCTGGCCAGCCCTAGCCCCAGTGGCAGCCTCCTGAGGGACCATAAGCCCAGGGCACCTCCAGGCACAGAGGGTCCCAGCTTATACCGGTTAAGAGGCCTCCAGGCAGCACCTTCCCCAGCACTGAACTCACTTTAAGGGAGGGGTGCTGAGTAGACTGCACTTAGCATAAGCTGGGCAGATCCCATCCCCTCACCCCAGAACAATTTGTGACCTAGGGAGCTACATCTAGCCCCCACCCCCATGACAGTTTAGAGAGCCCAGGGGCTGATCCTCCTCTAGCTGTTGACAATTTGCTGTGGTTATTTATTTAGGAACATGCTTGTCATGCCTGGCTGCCGCTGCACCATGCAGGATCTGAATAAAATGTTTGGTCCTACAGTGGCCCCCTGGCTCATCCCTTTGCACCACCCCCACCTCGGGGGGGAGGGGTGTCTCACAGCTCAGGGAGCCTGGCCCTGGAAATGGGGCTGGACGGACTGACTTTCTCCACTTAGCTCCCTTGGCCTGGACAGAGCCTATAGAAACTGGCTGCCTGCCCCCAGGCACCTCTCACAAAGGTGATGCTGCTTCTCCTGACCTGTTTTGTACCTAGCAATGTTCACCCATGGCCTGCACCACCAGCTCTCAGTGCCAGGCGCTGCCCTTGTCCCAGCTCCCAGGCCCCTGCCTGCCCCCATCCCAGCATGCTGTACTGAGGGGAGAATCATCACAGAGCTGAGCTAACCCAGCTATGGGGGGTTTATTAGTCAATGACAGAGCTTGAGGTTGTGGATGGGTCACAGCCAATCTCCCTCTTCCCCCCCCCCCCCCAACCACCTCCCCCATAAATTACACCAGCCAGGGAGGGGCTTGGCCACATGCTGGTTGGGTGGGAGCCTTGGGGGTGGGGAAGGAAGGGCCATGGTGAGACAAGCTAGCCCAGCCCCTCCCTTGGGCTGGTACCTGAGTACTGCCGGGAAGAACCCAGGCTGCAGCCTACAGCTGCTGAGAGTCAGCGTCCCAGCCTTCATGCTCACCTTCTCACTGCTTCTGGTGGTGACCCTCTATTGCAAGGTGGCCCCCAGCAGGACACCCCCAGCCCCACCCACCTGAGGCAGGAATCCAGCCCTCAGGAGGCAGCCTCTCCTCACACTGAGAGCCCGTTGTCTGGCCAGGGGCTCCACTTGAAGCAGAGTTAGTGTAAGTGGTGGGTGCCTGGTGGCAGATCACTGGGCCTGGTCCAGGAGCCGGGTGACCGCCATCTTGGCATTGTAGATACAGTCGTTCACAGAGACACCCTGGTAGGAGGCCCCAATCAGGCTCAGTGGCAGTCCTTCCCGCTCCAGGTAACGGCTGATGGTCTCTGCCAGGGGGAGAGAGGGAGTAAGGCAAGAGGGGTCTCCACCACCCCCAGCACATGGGCTGGAGCTGTGCTCCCCTGGCTGTGCGTCCCATTGCCCAGCCCAGGACCACACCCCCAGGCTTGACTACTGCAGAGGGGACAGCTCCCTCCAACCAGCAAGGGGCTGCCTGATGCCATAGATGTGAGAGGGCAGCCAAGGGCTCTGCCAGCCTTACCTGTCCTCTGCCAGTGGCCGAGCGTGTACTGGGGGATGCAGGCCTGTGGAAGGACCAGAGACAAGGGTGAGGGCTGATTTGGCCCATACAGTTCTTAGTGCTACCCACCCAGACCCCACCTACCTTGAGCACCTTGACAATTGTGCAGGAGGGCTCAGCTGCCAGGCCCAGGTGTGCCCTCACTGCCTCCTTGGCACGGCTCAGCAGCCTTGCCTCTGGCACCATCTCTGGGTCCCCAAAGCCCTCTTCGAACCACGCACCTCCCAGCATCACCTGCAGGTAGTAAAACAACCACTCAGGAGAGGAGTAGGATCTCAGCTGGGGGCCAACAGGACTCCCCTGAATTGGGGTGGAGAGGGGTAACTGCTTCAGAAAGCCAGGATCCTCCCCTCTCCTGACCCTAATCAGGGCCCCAGAGTGCCAGGCCTGGCCCCAAACTAGGAACCCCTGCCCCACCCTGAGGGCATGGCTGAGCTGGTGCCAGACCAGGCCAACCTTCAGCCCATGGGAGGAACCAGCAGGATACTGGGGGGTCCTGGGCCAGATCCCACAGCTGTCTGCCCTGTGCTGTGGTGGAACCAGGCCCCTTGGCATAGGCCCCGACCCCATGGATACTCTGGGGCTAGAGCACCCACCAGGGGCCCCCACCAATCAGCTCCTCCCCCTCCCTCCCAGAACCTCCTGCCTGCCACTGAACAGCTCAGCAGTGGGCAGGAGGCACTGGGGGAGAAGCGAGGGCAGGGGTGGGGCCTTAGGGAAGGAGTGGAATGGGTGTTAAGCACCACCCAGGGAAGTCAGCACCTTTGCACCCTGTGACCAGGGGTCAGGCTGCCAGGGCCCATGGCTGGACCTGTGCACATCCACACCAGGTCCCTCTGCCACCGGCACGCCTCCCTGGTGGGAGCAGGGTGGTGTGCTCACCGTGAGCCGGACAGAAGGACCACTGGTGCCATTCTGCTCCGGGAAGGCGATCGAGTCGTAGACTATGCCCAGCAGGGAGCGATCTTCGAATGAGGGGACCAGGTGCCCGAACCCCTGGGACAGAGACAAGGAGACACCTATTACCCCTCGGGGCCTGCCTCACTTCCCCCTGGAAGACTGTAGCTGGATGGACAGATGGGTGGACACCCTGCCCCCACCCCCAGCTCTGGGAGCCAGCTCTGCACTCAACTTGCTGGCAGCTCCCCACAGCCCCTGCCCCACAGTCCCCTGCCGCTCCCAGAATGGGATAGGGCGCCCATGACATGTGGCCAGGGCTGTAGTCCTGAGGCGTTCTCCCTTCCTGCTCAGGTAATGCTGGATGCCCAGGGACAGGACAGGGGGCATGCTAGGGGCTGCGGTGGTTTATGGTGGCAGGCAGGGGGACCCCAGTCTCACCGTGATGGGCAGCGTGGCACCGTTGTACTGCAGGTTCACCACACCCACCGACACGGCCTCGATGCCACGCAGCTCCTGGGCCAACGGCTCGGCCCAGCTGGGGAGCAGCACCGCTAGAGCTGGAAACAGAGACACCTCAGGACAGAGCAGCTGGGGGCTCCACACCCCTCTCCCCCCTGCACAGAGCTGGAGCACCTGCTCCAAGCCACAGCCAGGGAGAAAACCCAGGAGTCCGCTACTCTCCCCACTAGCCCACACCCCTGCACAGAGGGGAGGATTCCTGGAGTGGGAGGCAGAGCCCAGCCACCAACAGGGGCTCAGACCCACGCAGAGTCTTGCTGGACAAGCAGAGACTGGGTCCCAACCCCCACCGTTCCGAGTGCCTAGATGGCTCCACATCAGGCATGGATACCCATCAAAGCAGAGGGGCTACCCTCAGCACAGGCACCACCCCTACCTCTGGCCGGGATGGCACTGATCACATGGTCTGCTCTCACGCTGCCGTCCTCCAGGGTGATCTAGACGGGAAAGGCACAGAGCAGACACCTCAGCCCACCTGCTGGTAAGCCTGGGCCTACACCCCTGCCCCACAGAGCAGAGAAGTGACTCACCCAAGCTGGAATAGAACCCAGGAGTCCTAGCTCCCACCTCCCCTGCTCTGATCACCAGACCCCACTCCCCTCCCAAGAGCTGCGAACAGAACCCAGGAGTTCTGGCTTCCAACTCCCCTGCTGTGACCACTCAGGTTCACACCTGAATGGGGCAACGGTGAAGTGTTTGACCAGACAGTGCAGCAAGTGGCGGTTCAGTTTCAGTTTAAACCTTTGGAGCCCAGCTCCCCTCCCCTCCATGTCGCAGCAGAGCCCTGGGGACTCAGAAGGGGTGCAAGAGGACGCATCCTGCTGCCTCCCACCTGCCAGCACTCAGCTGCCGTTCTCTCCAGACGCTGCAAACGGGCATGGCAGTGCATTTCCACCCCATGCCGTCTGAGGAAGTCCTGCAGGGCCTCGGGCAGTGTCTCCATGCCACCACGCAGCGACCACTGGCTCCAGCACTCGTCACGGGCCCTGCGGCTCAGTGCTGAGTCCAGGGCGGGGCCCTTCCCTAGGAGCAGAGAGCAGGCTAGAAACCCGTCCACACGGCAAGTCTCCAGGAACCTGCCAGTCTCCCAGCTGCCCTGACCCAACTGGGCTGCCACCAAGGGGAAGGGCCCCCAGAGATCAGAGCTGGCCCTTGGAGCCCCAGGGAGGAAGCTGCATAGCCAGCCAGTGATGGAGCAGGTCCTGAGTCAGGCGCATGCTCCTGTCCCTGTGGAAAGCCTTTCTGTATCACGCTCTTTTTGAGCGCAGGTGCAGCCTATCCCCTGGCCCAGCGGCTCCGTCGCCCCCAGAACCCCTTTGTGGGAGGCTGCGTGGCCGACTCTCACCTCCACCCAGGGCCATCCCCAGGATGACGGAGCGCCGCCTCCGCTCGGCCTCAAACAGCGCAGGAAAGCAGGAGCGCACGCTCAGGGCCCGGCAGTCTCCAGCAAACACCCCCCGGCACAGGCTGTCGATGGCGATGTCGGCCAGCTAGGAAGCCAAGGGGAGAGGATCAGCCAGGCCCTACCTCAGCACTAACGCTGCTGGGCACAGCCAAGAGAAGGGATCTTCCCAGTGGGGCTCTGGGTGAGCTGAAGAGCCAGCGAGGGCAGTTCTTGCATGCCCCAGGGGGAAGCTGTGTGAAGGGGCAGAGACCACCCTGGACTGAAGTGCCGCTCTCCATCCTGCCAGCTGGCTCCACAAACCCTGGAGCGACCAGAGACAACCCCGGGTCCACTGCCCTTCCCCCCACCAGGATTGGGCAGATGAGGCTGCCAGGCAGCCCACAGAGCCCCTGCACCAAGCCAGGCTCACTACCCCTCAGCAGACAGCACAGAGACTGGAGATGCCAGCCCCAGACCTGCAGTCAGACCATGCCCACCCCGGGGGGAGGAGGGGGAGAACCACACACATCCCACTGGCCACAGCAGGTTTCTCTCACAATCGAGCATGGGGCAGAAGGGCTCCCCATACTGGGGGCAGGAGCCTCCTGCTCTGCCGTTTGTGGTGGTTGAAGTAGCCCCTCTCTCCATTCATGGGATTCCCAGCAGATTCCTTCTCCCCCGTTGCTCAATGGTGCTCTGACCCCCCAGCCCTGCTGGCAGCCTGTTCACCCCTCACCTCCTCTAGCACCTTCCCACCCTCAGGCTCCAGAGCACTGTGGCAACTAGGCTCCCCACCACCAGGATGTCAGGCATGATCAGATGGGGAAACTGAGTCACAGAGCAAGAAAAGGCCATGCCTTGAGTCATACAGTGTGTCTGTGGCAGAGCTGTGAATAGAACCCAGGAGCCCTGACTTCCAGTCTCTCCTGCTTCGCCACCAGGGCCTGTCCCATTGAGATACCAACAGAGAAACCAGTCATGGCAATGCAGCCCCCTTTGGGGCAGGAAGTGGCAGCTGTTCCACTGCACAGCGACACCGCCTGGCAGTTTGGAATGGGAAATGCAGAATCCCGCATGTGTCTGCCAGTGCTTAGGACACTAGGAGAGCCTGGCAGAATGGCCCCAGGACACCTGGGTTCACACCTTGGCTCTTATGGAAATTGCCTTGGGTCTCCAGTGGCCCTGAGCAGCCCAGATCACAGGCTGCCTGGGGCCCATCTGGGAGGGTCACGCCTGGCTCCCTTCCCTCACCCGCTGCAGGATGAAGATAGGCAGAGCTGCTGCTGCCACACCCTGGGCCCCAGCTCCAGCTCCTCCCCTGCACTAAATCTCTCTCAGTGCCCTGCGCACAAAGCTGCCTCCCCCATTCCATGGGGCTCCCTGCCCTGTGCACATGCCCCTCCTGGGCTCCCCTCCCTGCACAGGCTGGGCTCATACCTCCTTTCCAAAGCGGCGGCTCACAAAGCTGTGGATGGTCTCATCCAACTGGGTGCCCCGGGGGGCTGCCAGCTCATGCAGTCCACTCCAGAGTAGGGGCCTGGTGAAGGGTGGCACCGTCCGCAGAACACCGCTGCCAACACACACAGAGGGGTTACCAAGCTGGGGCATGGCGGGCAAAGTGAACAGAGGTAGTGCAGCTGTGAACCTTCCCTGTCCCCACCCCCCAGACCCATCATCCCCCAGCACAGTCACTAGCTGCTGGGATTGAGGGGAAGCGTCAGCTCTCCAACACAGTGGCTGGACAGGCCCATGGGCAGGGACACCTGCAGCAGCCACGGGACACGTACCCAATGCTGGATGGCAGCCTATGCAGCGCCCCGCTCACATAGAGGTAGCGGTTCTTGGAAGCCGGGTGGTCGCCGGGCACTGGAAGCACATCTGCATCCAGGCCAAGTTCAGAGACCTAGGGAGAGACAAGTAGGCCAGACGCAGACTGCCTCACATTACTGGGTATTAGGGCAGCACCAAGAGGCCATGACCAAAATCGGGGGCCCCTGCTGCCTCACAGACTCCCTACTCCTAGCTGAGACCAGGGGGATCCTTGTCATGCCAGAACCTCCGGCCCTGACTGAGATGGCGCGGGACAGACTAAAATCAGCAGGCTCTGCCCGACTCCACCCAAACCGCCCCAGAGCTGCTAGACGTTCCCACCCTTTGACCGTGCCTTATGGGTTCTTCTAAGCCATTGCCTGCCCTCCCCCAGCTCTGTAGTGTGCTGGCATGTCTGCTTCCTCGCCAAGCCCATTCCAGCCAGGGGATGAGTACCACCAGCCCTTCAGCAGGGGTAGACGCAGCTACTGGAATCAAGAGCACCCAGCTGTTACTGTCTTGCTGGCGTGCAAGCGATTGCAAGGTCCCAGAAGCCATGAGGAGGCAGCTCTGGGGCCTGTCCCTGCATGGGGGCTCCCATGATCTTAGGAGATCAGCCCAGCTGGATAGATCCCACCTGGTTGCAGGGCCAATACTCCATGCCCCCCACCTCATCCCCCAGCTGCACCCTGCCCCCCTCCCCCAACCTGCAGGCTCTGCCCACCTACCATGAGCAGAGTGTTCTTCCCCACAGTCCCAGCAGGTCGGATCCCCCTGGGGCCATGCTCAAATACAGCCCCGTCCTCAGTTCGAGTGGAATGGAGCCAGCCCCCCAGGCGGCCACTGCCCTCCAGCAGGATTATCTGTGGGGAGGGAGGAGCCCATCAGGGAAGCACTGCAGTTGCCGCAGCTCTCACAGGAGAAGGTGCCAGGAGGCACCCGTTATTTAGCCAGCTTCCCAGAACACCAAGGCTGCCAGTACACACGGCCCTAACTGCCCTGGAGCCCAGCCCAGTCCAGCCTCCACTGAGCCCCAACTGTGGCCCGTGGAGGCCATTTGCATGAATGAAGCACCACGGTCAGCACTGGATTGCACCATCTCCCTACTGGTGTCCCAGCACTGCAGAGCGTGGCACCAAGAAGTGGGGGGGACCTGCCCCACAGCCAAGTGGCTGAGCCTCACAGAAGGGACCAAGGGCCATCCACAAGCCTAAATTCCAGGCAGGGCAATGCCCTAGCTGGGTGGGGCAGCTGTGATCATAGGGTCATTGCATGCTGCACAAGCCAGCCCCACAGCCAAGTACCATTTACCCCCCACTGGGGCTTCCAGCACAGAGGCCAAGGGCTGGAAGGCTGTAGGGAAGGAGCTCCTCTCTGCTCCAGAAAGCAGGGCAGCCCTGGCGCTGTCCATGGTTTCCACAGAAAGACCTCAGTTGGTCTCCAGAGCTGTGGGGCAGCCCCGTGATCAGCGTCCCACCGCCTTGACGCCCCACGCAGGCAGCCCCTGGGGATGCTGCCCCAGGAGGTCTCACCTTGGGAGCATTGGGGCTCCTGGCCAGCTGGTAGCAGGCGGTGAGGCCACTGATCCCACCACCGACAACTGCCACCGTCCTCTGCATCCAGCAGCCTGGGGGAGAAGAGAGGAGAGGGGCTGGCCGTGGCCTCACACAGGATCAGCTGCTCCCCATGAACCTGGGGTCTCTGGGGCTAGACCCCACCCGGGGAGCCAGCACCATGGGACAGAGCTGCACGTAGGACGGGACTCATAACACGCGTGGCACTGCCACCAGCCTCAGCCCCACGCCACCCCAACAGCTCCCAGCCTCCCGCCACCCCAACCGGTCCCAGCCCCCCGCCACCACCACCCCCCAACCGCTCCCAGCCTCAGCAGCCCCCCACCACCACCACCCCAACCACTGCCCCCCAACCCAACCCTCAGCCTCCCGCCCCCCAACCGCCCCCACCCCCAGCCCCAACCATCGCCCCCCCAACCGCCATCAACCCCAGCCCCCACCACTCCCAGCCTCAGCCCCAGCCCCCCGCCACCACCACCCCAACCGCCCCCAACCATTGACCCCCAACCCAACCCTCAGCCTCCCACCCGCCACCCCTACCATCCCCAGCCACCATCAACCCCACCCCCCACCACTCCCCGCCTCAGTCCCCCGCCCCCAGCCTCAGCCCCCCACCCCAACCCTCAGCCTCTCGCCCCAGCAACCTCCGCCCCCCACCCTAACCAGCCCCCCCAACTGTTCCCCAGCCTCAGCCCCCCTTCGCCTCTCGACCGTCCGGCCACTCTCACCCGCGCAGCGAAAATGCGCACACGCCGCCGTGGCCAGGATTGGTACGGGTGGGGGCGGGAATAACGAGCTACGGACCAATCAGACAGCAGACTGTCCTGTGCGCATCAACAAGGTCGACCCCGCCCCTGTGACGGCTGGGCGGGGTAAGGCGGCCGAGCGGGGCCACGCTTAGCCCGACAGGCGGGGCGGGGCGGGGGGGGGTTTAGGGGCACCGTATGGTCCAGTGACCCCGCCCCAATACCCGCCTTCACCCTCCCAGTACCGCCCCTCCCAATACCCCCCATACCCCCCCGCCCCGTATCCCCCCCACTGTCCCAGTACCGCCCCTCCAGCCCCCCATATCCCGTCAGCTCCATATCACTCCCCCACTGCCCCCAGTACCGCCCCTCCCAATACCCCTCATCCCTGTATCACCCCCCACTGCCCCAGTACTGCCCCTCCAGCCCCCCATATCCCCTCTCAGCCCCGTATCACTCCCCCACTGCCCCCAGTACCGCCCCTCCCAATACCCCTCATCCCTGTATCACCCCCCACTGCCCCAGTACCGCCCCTCCAGCCCCCCATATCCCCTCTCAGCCCCGTATCACTCCCCCACTGCCCCCAGTACCGCCCCTCCCAATACCCCCATCCCTGTATCACCCCCCACTGCCCCAGTACCGCCCCTCCAGCCCCCCATATCCCCTCTCAGCCCCGTATCACTCCCCCACTGCCCCCAGTACCGCCCCTCCCAATACCCCTCATCCCTGTATCACCCCCCACTGCCCCAGTACCGCCCCTCCAGCCCCCATATCCCCTCTCAGCCCCGTATCACTCCCCCACTGCCCCCAGTACCGCCCCTCCCAATACCCCCATCCCTGTATCACCCCCCACTGCCCCAGTACCGCCCCTCCGCCCCCCATATCCCCTCTCAGCCCCGTATCACTCCCCCACTGCCCCCAGTCCGCCCCTCCCAATACCCCTCATCCCTGTATCACCCCCCACTGCCCCAGTACCGCCCCTCCAGCCCCCCATATCCCCTCGCAGCCCCATATCACTCCCCCACTGCCCCCAGTACCGCCCCTCCCAATACCCCCCATAACCCCCCGCCCCGTATCCCCCCCACTGTCCCAGTACCGCCCATCCAGCCCCCCATATCCCCTCTCAGCCCCGTATCACTCCCCCACTGCCCCCAGTACCACCCCTCCCAATACCCCTCATCCCTGTATCACCCCCCACTGCCCCAGTACCGCCCCTCCAGCCCCCCATATCCCCTGTCAGCTCCATATCACTCCCCCACTGCCCCCAGTACCGCCCCTCCCAATACCCCTCATCCCTGTATCACCCCCCACTGCCCCAGTACCGCCCCTCCAGCCCCCCATATCCCCTGTCAGCTCCATATCACTCCCCCACTGCCCCCAGTACCGCCCCTCCCAATACCCCTCATCCCTGTATCACCCCCCACTGCCCCAGTACCGCCCCTCCAGCCCCCCATATCCCCTGTCAGCTCCATATCACTCCCCCACTGCCCCCAGTACCACCCCTCCCAATACCCCTCATCCCTGTATCACCCCCCACTGCCCCAGTACCGCCCCTCCAGCCCCCCATATCCCGTCAGCTCCATATCACTCCCCCACTGCCCCCAGTACCGCCCCCTCCCAATACCCCTCATCCCTGTATCACCCCCCACTGCCCCAGTACCGCCCCTCCAGCCCCCCATATCCCCTCTCAGCCCCGTATCACTCCCCCACTGCCTCCAGTACCGCCCCTCCCAATACCCCTCATCACTGTATCACCCCCCACTGCCCCAGTACCGCCCCTCCAGCCCCCCATATCCCGTCAGCTCCATATCACTCCCCCACTGCCTCCAGTACCGCCCCTCCCAATACCCCTCATCCCTGTATCACCCCCCACTGCCCCAGTACCGCCCCTCCAGTCCCCCATATCCCCTCTCAGCCCCGTATCACCCCTCCCCCCACTGCCCCCAGTACCGCCCCTCCTCCCCCCCCCTCTCCCCCCCCCCACTCCCCCACTACCCCCCCCCATCCCCCATCCCTGTATCACCCCCCACTGCCCCAGTACCGCCCCTCCAGCCCCCCATATCCCCTCTCAGCCCCGTATCACTCCCCCACTGTCCCCAGTACCGCCCCTCCCAATACCCCTCATCCCTGTATCACCCCCCACTGCCCCAGTACCGCCCCTCCAGCCCCCCATATCCCCTCGCAGCCCCATATCACTCCCCCACTGCCCCCAGTACCGCCCCTCCCAATACCCCTCATCCCTGTATCACTCCCCCACTGCCCCCAGTACCGCCTCTCCCAATACTCCCCATACCCCCCCGCCCCGTATCCCCCCCCACTGTCCCAGTACCGCCCCTCCAGCCCCCCATATCCCCTCTCAGCCCCGTATCACTCCCCCCACTGCCCCCAGTACCGCCCCCTCCCAATACCCCCATCCCTGTATCACCCCCCACTGCCCCAGTACCGCCCCTCCAGCCCCCCATATCCCCTCTCAGCCCCGTATCACTCCCCCACTGCCCCCCAGTACCGCCCCTCCCAATACCCCCATCCCTGTATCACCCCCCACTGCCCCAGTACCGCCCCTCCAGCCCCCCATATCCCCTCTCAGCCCCGTATCACTCCCCCACTGCCCCCAGTACCGCCCCTCCCAATACCCCTCATCCCTGTATCACCCCCCACTGCCCCAGTACCGCCCCTCCAGCCCCCCATATCCCCTCGCAGCCCCATATCACTCCCCCACTGCCCCCAGTACCGCCCCCTCCCAATACCCCTCATCCCTGTATCACTCCCCCACTGCCCCCAGTACCGCCTCTCCCAATACTCCCCATACCCCCCCGCCCCGTATCCCCCCACTGTCCCAGTACTGCCCCTCCAGCCCCCCATATCCCCTGTCAGCTCCATATCACTCCCCCACTGCCCCCAGTACCACCCCTCCCAATACCCCTCATCCCTGTATCACCCCCCACTGCCCCAGTACCGCCCCTCCAGCCCCCCATATCCCGTCAGCTCCATATCACTCCCCCACTGCCCCCAGTACCGCCCCTCCCAATACCCCTCATCCCTGTATCACCCCCCACTGCCCCAGTACCGCCCCTCCAGCCCCCCATATCCCCTCTCAGCCCCGTATCACTCCCCCACTGCCCCCAGTACCGCCCCTCCCAATACCCCTCATCCCTGTATCACCCCCCACTGCCCCAGTACCGCCCCCTCCAGCCCCCCATATCCCCTCTCAGCCCCGTATCACTCCCCCACTGCCTCCAGTACCGCCCCTCCCAATACCCCCATCCCTGTATCACCCCCCACTGCCCCAGTACCGCCCCTCCAGCCCCCCATATCCCGTCAGCTCCATATCACTCCCCCCACTGCCCCCAGTACCGCCCCTCCCAATACCCCTCATCCCTGTATCACCCCCCACTGCCCCAGTACCGCCCCTCCAGCCCCCCATATCCCCTCTCAGCCCCGTATCACTCCCCCACTGCCTCCAGTACCGCCCCTCCCAATACCCCTCATCCCTGTATCACCCCCCCACTGCCCCAGTACCGCCCCTCCAGCCCCCCCATATCCCCTCTCAGCCCTGTATCACTCCCCCACTGCCCCCAGTACCGCCCCTCCCAATACCCCCCCATACCCCTCCGCCCCGTATCCCCCCCACTGCCCCAGTACCGCCCCTCCAGACCCCATATCCCCTGTCAGCTCCATATCACTCCCCCACTGCCCCCAGTACCACCCCTCCCAATACCCCTCATCCCTGTATCACCCCCCACTGCCCCAGTACCGCCCCTCCAGCCCCCCATATCCCCTCTCAGCCCCGTATCACTCCCCCACTGCCTCCAGTACCGCCCCTCCCAATACCCCTCATCACTGTATCACCCCCCACTGCCCCAGTACCGCCCCTCCAGCCCCCCATATCCCCTGTCAGCTCCATATCACTCCCCCACTGCCCCCAGTACCGCCCCTCCCAATACCCCTCATCCCTGTATCACCCCCCACTGCCCCAGTACCGCCCCTCCAGCCCCCCATATCCCCTCTCAGCCCCGTATCACTCCCCCACTGCCTCCAGTACCGCCCCTCCCAATACCCCTCATCCTGTATCACCCCCCACTGCCCCAGTACCGCCCCTCCAGCCCCCCATATCCCGTCAGCTCCATATCACTCCCCCACTGCCCCCAGTACCGCCCCTCCCAATACCCCTCATCCCTGTATCACCCCCCACTGCCCCAGTACCGCCCCTCCAGCCCCCCATATCCCCTCTCAGCCCCGTATCACTCCCCCACTGCCCCCAGTACCGCCCCTCCCAATACCCCTCATCCCTGTATCACCCCCCACTGCCCCAGTACCGCCCCTCCAGCCCCCCATATCCCCTCTCAGCCCCGTATCACTCCCCCACTGCCCCCAGTACCGCCCCTCCCAATACCCCCATCCCTGTATCACCCCCCACTGCCCCAGTACCGCCCCTCCAGCCCCCCATATCCCGTCAGCTCCATATCCTCCCCCACTGCCCCCAG